TGGATCCAGTAGGGTTTCCACGTGGGAGCAGGACAGGCACTCCTCAGGGCTGGGAACGTGGAGCTTCGCCTGCCCTGTGTGGGTACCACATAGTAAACATTCAAGAACTATTCATTTTGGAAGCCATTGTATATATGTACCCATCTGTGTATCTGCCAATCACAGCGAAGCAGCTCTTCCCCCACCCCCTAGAAAGGCTGCTTAGAACAACACGGCTTTCTGTAATAAAGAAAGCTCTAGCCAAGTGGTGGTGGCGCACGCCTTTAATCCCAGCACTCGAGAGGCAGAGGCAGGCGGATCTCTGTGAGTTTGAGGCCAGCCTGGGCTACAGAATGAAATCCAGGACAGGCACCAAAACTACACAGAGAAACCCTGTCTCAAAAAACAAAAGAAGGAAGGAAGGAAGGAAGGAAGGAAGGAAGGAAGGAAGGAAGGAAGGAAGGAAGAAAGCTCTAATCTGTAACTACACACCCCAAGTGCTACACCAGATGCTGCAAGGTCCCCAAGTATCTGAGTTCCAGAGCCCCACTTTCAGGAATTTTGCCGTCTAGTGTGGGAGAAAAATGTTTGACAAATGTCACGCAAGTCATTTATAACCAAAAGTACCTTGGGATTTAAAAGGTGAGGTTGGACAGAGGGGTCTCTTTTGGTTTGTAGAGAAGGGAATATGGACCTTGAATGATATTCATGGGGGGTTGGGGGAAAATGGGAGTGGGGGACTGCTGGGCTGAGCACATCTAAGCTTGAGGTTCTATGGTGAGCTCGAAGGAGTTGTAGGCCAGGCTGGCACAGACTAGTGCAGTATTTGAAGGCAGGGCACCCGACACTCCTCTGGTGACAGAGGAAAAGAACATGGACGCTTGAGGCAGGATCCCTGTTTTCAAGAAACTGTCCAACTGATAAAAGAATTTAAGGAGAGCTAGGGGCTGGGGATCCCCGGTACCACACCACCACCTCAGAAGAAACTTAGCCAGGCAAGATGGTCAACTCCCGTAATCCGGGCGCTGTGGAGGCTGAAGCAGGAGTGCCGCTGAGAGAGACGACATGGGTGGCGGGTTAACGGAACACTGGAAGAGATCTGCGAAGACGTTTTCTAGAAACTCATCTCTACTACTGATTCGTTTGTCCCTCGCAGGTGATTAAGGAAGTCCAGGAATTTTACAAGGACACCTACCAAAAGCTGAAGACCAAGGATGAGCCCCAGCGGGAAACACTCAAAGCCATCCATATGGCGGTAGGTCAACCTCTGTAGTGGAAACCACTGACCCCTCGGCTACACCCCTACAGAGCCACATTTTAATTATCTTTTTTTTTCTCTCATCCTCACCCCTGCTTTCCTTCTTCAGTTGGACTGCTGTGGCCTGCTGGGCGTCGTGGAGCAGTTTATCTCAGACACCTGCCCCAAGAAGCAAGGTCTTGAAGCCATCCAGGTTAAGGTAAAGTTAGAGCAAACTTCTGGCACCCAGCCCTACTGTTTAGGCAAATCCCTGCAAAGGCAAGGGTGAATTTAGTAACATTCTTCCCTGGGGCTTCTTTCCTCAAGAGGCAGCAAGACAAAGTCCAGATCAGAGATACAACAAGGTCCTCTAGCACCTGGAATCCCTCAACTGCTGCCCAAGTCCCAAGCCTTAAAGCAAGCATACTCTAGGGAGAGGAAGCCTGCTTCTAAAGCTGTAGTAACAGGTCCTGGTGGGTCAGTCTTCCTTAATCCAGAAGCAGAATAATAGGTGATTCTCCAGCCATGTGGGAAGAGACCCCAGAGGGGCCTCTCTGAGTGGCGGAATACTCGCCTGGTGGGTAAAGCTCCAGGTTTCATCCCCAGTACTGCCAAGTAGAGAAAGAAGGGGGGAGGGGGGGAAGGTGCCGTGATAAAAGCATTTGGTGCTCTTCCGGAGGACCCAGGTTCCATTCCCAGCATTGCGTCTCAGAACCATCTGTAACTCCAGTCCCAGGGGATCCCGTGCCCACTTCTGAGCTCCACAGACACAGGAACAGACGTGGCGTACACGCACACATGCAGACAAAATACTCACACGTAAAAGTAAAAGGAAGGAAAGAAAGACCTCAAACCTCCCCCGCTCTGAAGTCTTCTCAAAGTCAAAACTGTTTGTGACCTGTGTCTCGTTTGCCTCCCTAAGTCCTGCCCAGAGGCCATCAATGACGTCTTCAACAGCAAGTTCCACATCATCGGAGCAGTGGGCATCGGCATTGCCGTGGTGATGGTAAGTGGTGGGGGGTCCACGGAAGATTCGCTCTTCCTAAGCCCTGCCCAGGCACTGTCAGGAGTGCTGTGGGGTCAGCAGCTAATGCGGCCCTGGCTGTCCTGGCCAGGTGGGTGCTGTCAGCGTTTCCTTTTTGCTTACTAAGAGGTAGGAGCACTCTGAGACTGTGGCTCAGAGGTTGAGCACTTGGCTAAAATGGGCAAAGCCCTGGGTTGCATTCCCAGCACCGCAGAAAGGAAATGGGGTGGCGAGTGTCCTCCTCGGCATATTGTGTTGGAAACGCTGAATTGAGCATTTAAAGCTGAATGGTCTCTGAGGAAATGGCTCAGGCTGCGTAGCTCAGCGGCTGGCTGGCTGTTGGAATCCAAGTCGGCTGTCCTTCCTGTCATCCTGCCTGCGTCTCTCCCGCATCAGAGCCCTTCCTGGACCTCATTGCCCTGGTCTCTGGTCTTGGCCTGAGTGACGGACGCTTCCCCTTTCACTCTTCCTGTCTTTGCAGATCTTCGGCATGATTTTCAGCATGATCCTGTGCTGTGCCATCCGCAGGAGCCGAGAAATGGTCTAGAGTCTGTCCCGACCCCGAGCAGGAACAACGGCCCCTGAATACTGTCGGGCTGTTTGGATTTTTGCCACTAATAGTAGTATTCATGATGCATTTCTAAACAAAAGTTATTCTGTGTCTGTCTTTTTAATGCTCTGTTCATCATTGACATTTGTAGTCGAGGGATCTGGGGGTTCAATTTTATTTTTTTTTTGGTTGTTTATTTTTGCTTGTTATGTTAAACGAAAATCCTGCAATGAAAGGTACTATATTTGCCAGACTCTAGACAGAAGATATTGTACATAAAGAGAATTTTTTTGCCTTTAAATAGATAAAAGTATCTATCAGATTTAATCAGGTTGTAAGTTATATTGAAGACAATTTGATACATAATAAAAGATTATAACAATGTCTAGGACTGCTTGGGGTATTGCTTTCTTTAAATTCGTTTTTGGAGCTGCTTAGTTTGAAGGTATTTTCAGCTTTTTTTTTTTTTTTTTTTTTTTAATCTGTAGTCCTTGGCTGGGCGGTGGAGGCGCACACCTTTAATCCCAGCACTCAGGAGGCAGAGACAGTTGGATCTCTGTGAGTTCGAGGCCAGCTTGGTCTACAGAGTCAGTTCCAGGACAGGTCCCAAAACTACACAGAGAAACCCCTGTCTGGAAAAACCAAGTAAATCAATAAATGAAATGAAATCTATAGTCCAGGCTGGGCGGGAATTCTCTGTAGCTCAGCCTGGCCTCGGGTTCCAGGAAGCCCCCATGCCTCCCATGTGCTGAGGTTCTCCTTGTATACCACCACGCCCAGCTCTTCCAGCTACATTGTATTCTAACGGCACCAAATGAGAAGCAGATTGGAAGGTGGGTCTCATCCTCGCCTACTAATAAAGAAATTTTCACCTACTAGTAAAGAAATTGAGGCATGAGAGATTTTGATCTGATGTCACACAATTTTGGGATGAGTCTCACCCAGCAGTGGGTGGTGTCTTAGGGTCTCGTGAGTCTGTTCTATATTCACAGTTTAGCCTCCAGCACCAAGACCTTGTAGCTGGGCATAGCCCGTGCTCAGTAGTCTTATCTATGAAGAGCTGTTGGTTGAAAGGCTAAGGAAGTACACATCCATTAGGATGTAGTCAAAGGAACAGAACCACTCTAAGATACGCCTATGTGTGGCTTCATCACAGGAAATCTGTCCCTGCGCGGTCCCTGGAGCTAGTCGAGGAGACCAATGGATATCAAGGGGGGAGCAGGAACCAGCTGGAACCATAAGCTCCCGCTAGTGCCCAGGGGCAGGCAACTGTGACAGTTCTTGTCTCTGACCCCGGGAGAGTCCTGCCTGGGCTGGGTCCTCGGCAAGAGGACTGAGCAAGCTGAGCTGATATGAGGTGTGGCCATGGGGAGTAGGGGCAGAGTGTAGGCCCCAGGGAATCTGCTACTTCATTCCTCGTCGAACCAGAAGTACCAGGGCAGGGAATTCTGGGAGGTGTACTTCAGCATAATCAGATGGAGAGATCACAGAGCCCCACAGTATAGGCAGTGACTCCAGCTTAGACCATGCACAGTCTGATCCACAGGCAGTGCAGAGAAGTGAGGAACGGCAGGCAGCACAGGAAACACTGTCGTTATCTACTCCTTGTTTGGTTTAGATTCTTCTTAACATTCTCTAAAAACAAGAAAAGAGAGTAGTGGCTGGAGAGTTGGCTCAGTGGTTAAGAGCACTGGCCACTCTTCAAGAGGACCCAGGTTCAAGTCCAGCCCCCATATGACTGCCCACCGCCGTCTATAACTCTATTTCCAGAGGATATGATGCATGCACGTGGTGCACAGACATACTGTCAAACCAAACACCAATACACATTTTTTTAAATGTGTTGTATGGGGAAACATCCCTATAATCTCTGCATTCAGGAGACTGAGGCAGAACTGTCAGTTCCAGACCAGTGTGGGCTGCATACATAGCAAGGCCCTGCAGCAAAACAAAAGAGACTTAATATTCCTGAATGCTACGACATGTTCATAGCAATAGATGACCACAGCAGAATATTACCTGGCCTTGAAAAGGGCAGAGAGTGGTGGTGCTCGCCTTTGACCCCAGCACTTGAGAGGCAGAGCCAGGCAGATCTCTGTGAGTTCGAGGCCAGCCTGGTCAACAGAGCGAGATCCAGGACAGGCACCAAAATTACACAGAGAAACCTGTCTAAAAAAAAAAGAAAGAAAGAAAGAGAGAAAGAAATGAAGTGTGACACAGCAACATGAGTGTACCTTGAAGACACTATGGTAAGTGACATAAGCCAGACACAAAGTAGACAGAAAGTAGATCAGAGGGAACTCAGCTAGGGAGAGGAAAACAGGAAATAACTAGAGGGGGGGTTGTTACTTTTTAATTACATATGTTTATATTTAGCCAGGGAGGGGGAATTCATACCACAGTTCATGCATATGTGGAGTTCAAAGGACACCTTGTGAGAGTTACTTCTCTTCCCACTGTGTGGGTTCCAGGGGCTGAATTCAATCAAGTCCTCAGGCTCAGCGGCCAGCGCCTTTACCCACTGAGTCGTCGTCCATCTTGCTGGCTCGGGAGTTACTGTTTAATGAGTCCGGAGATTCTGTTTGGGATAACGAAGTTTGGGGAAGGTGTAAAGAAGCAGGGCTAGTGCCAGACTGTGGCGGCGCACGTCTTTAATCCCAGCACTCAGGAGGCAGAGGCAGGCGGATCTCTGTGAGTTCGAGGCCAGCCTGGGCTACAGAGTGAGTTCCAGGAAAGGCGCAAAACTACACAGAGAAACCCTGTCTTGAAAAACCATAAACAAACAAACAAACAGACAAACAAATAGTAGGAAGAGAAACAGGGCTAGTGTGTTGTACGGTTTAAAATGGTGGAAATGGAATGTTGTATGTTGGGTATATTTTGCTAGACAATCTAAAAGGGTGAGTCAAGTTAGCTTTCTCAGATCCCACTTTCTCAAATCCCACAATTCACTGTGGCCCCGGATCCCTTCTCCATTCAAGCGTTTGAAGACAGGTAGTATGGTTCTGGTTGTGGAAACAGGTCAGCCATTAGTTTTGTCTAAGTTGCAGAACGTGTCTGAGGAGAAAGGAGAAGTCCCATGACATGTCCAATAAGGACTCCTCACGGAAGCTGTTCTCTTCTATCCCGCACTCTGCAGGCCTAAGTGACGGGGCGTGGGGGGTGCAGCCACCCCCAGCCTTCGCGCTGGCTTGGTGAGTCCTGGCAGATAATGCAATTGTCCCCATTCAAGTCTTGGCCATCAGACCCCTGGAAAACTAATTCAATTTCTCTCCTTTTAAATTGGATTTTCCCAAACCATCTGCTTCCCTTATGGAAATACAGGCAAGGTCAGCCCTTCTCCTGACATAGAACCTCCACTCTGCAAAACCCCTAAGCCAGACCTGCCTTTCTGGCCAGGCAAGACCTTGAGGACTTGTTCCCCTGTGGGGGCAGGGTGTATTCTACCAACCTCTACCTACCTGGGCAGTCACTAGCACCCACAGGTCTCAGACTGACTCACAGGTACTTGTGGACTCACAGGACCACAGCACTCAGGAAAGCCTGGAAAAACATTGTTCTCGTGGCAGGAACAGAGGCCCTGGACATTGGATCCATGTTGAGTCCATTATCTCTGACATGTCACCTGTCAGGAGACATCCAGGGCAGTAGTTAGAATAAGCATTTCCAGGGCTGAGGTGTGACTCGGTGGTAGAGGGCTTGAATAGCTTGAGTGAGGCCATGGATTTAATCCCTAGTACTGAGCAAAAAGTCATGGGCATTCCTGTGTGTGCCAGGGTCGGGTGTATGAACTGTGTGTAACTGGGCGGCAACATGGCGGCCTCAACACATCAAGGCCCAACAGGTATGATATCCCAGGACTCATTTGATGACCAGGTTACACAGCCCTTGAGGTAGCCTGGGAGTGTGGGAGGCAGTAGCTTACGTGAATTTCCGTCAGGATGAGTCTTGGCATCTGACACGTGGGATAGTAAAGCTGGTTCTGGTTGTTGTCGTTGTTGTTGTTGTGTTGTTTGTTTTTGTTTTTTGAGACGGCATCTCAATATCTAGCCCAGTCCGGCCTTGAACTCACAGTCCTGTGCAAGCTTCCTGTGCTGGTATTACAAGCATGCACCACAGTGTCAGAGGGTATGGCTTAGATTAAGGTTGCTGTCACAATTAAAGAATATACCTAAACCAGAGCTTCCTGGTACCCACCTTTAATCTCAGCACTTGAGAGGCCGAAGCAGGAAGATCAAGGAATTTAGCTTCAGGCTACGAAGTAAGTTTGAGGCAAGCCTGAGCTACAACCCTGCTTCAAAATAAATAAATAAACCAGGTATGATGATGCACATCTTTAATCCCAGCACTCAGGAAGCAAAGGCAGGTGGATGACCTCTGAGTTTAAGGGCCAGCCTAGTCTCAGAGCGAGTTCCAGGATAGCCAGGGTTACCCTGTCTCAAAAAACCAAAATAAATAAAATAGTACACTGAAGGCATTTTGCCAGGATACACACGGGCGCGAGCACACACGCACACACACACACACACACACACACACACGCACGCACGCACGCACGCACACGCACTCGTGGGCACGTGCACGCAGCTACACAGAAACATTGGGGACCACATGGAGCAGCTCTCCTGCTGTACCTAAGAGAATGAAGAGAAGGAGCTGATAAAACACACAAACTGAAAAAAGTGGGACTCCCCTGACTGTCTGGAAAATAATCTTGTGGATCAAAAGAGACAGCAGAGGCCGGACAGTTGAGTTCAGTTAAGAACACTGTGGCTCTTGCTCAGTTCCCAGACTCCTAACCACCTGTAACACAACTCCAGCTCCCTCACACAGGGGGCATACACACATACACGTAAATAAAAATAAATCTTTTATTAAAAAATTTTTTGAGGTAGGAGAACTTCCACTTCTTCCCACAAAGGCCCAGCCCCAAGAAGACCTGGAAAAACCCAGCCCGAGGTCAGCGACCACACCCTCTGCATCAGGCTGCCCTCTTGTTTCCTTCTGGGCAAGCCTGGAAGTCCCCACCAACTGCTGCCCCCCACATCCTCCGGGCAATGCCCAAGGGGCAGACAGCACAGCCATAGTTTAGACTGATTCGGCCACCTGCTGGGTTTAAGGTGAAGGTAAGTGGCTGTGTGCAGGTCACCTGGGAGCCTCTGACCGATGAGAGCAAAGATTAATCACTTTCTCCTTAAGCAGTTCGGCCACTGTAGGTAGTATATCATTTATATCTCCTTTCGATTGTAGTTGATTGGGAAATGTTAAATGACCAGAGGAGAGTCAGGGTCTAGCCGGGAAAACAAAATGTAAAATAGGTCATTCATCAGGATAAATTTAATCTAGGAAATTGGTTAAGTCCTGGCAGACTGAGGGATCTCTCAGAGAACAAGGCAGTAATGTGGCTAAAGAAACAGCTGCCAGCCCTGTGGCTAGGGCCCTGCAGAGCGGGACTGCCTGGAGGAAAGGCATGTTCCTCCAGCTGTAGGTTCCTTTAGGGGGACTGGGAGAGGCTAATTCTCAGAATGTTGGAGTCCACATGTAATATTACCCATCACACCACACACTTCTCTGAACCCTGGCTGGTGATTTCTAGTTCCCTGAGGGCTCAAATAACTAGCAAATATTTGGGGGGTGGATGCTCAATATTAGCCATGAGGAAACACAAATCGAAACTACAATGAGGTACCACCCCATTCCCACTAGAATGGCTGTGCTGATGGGAATTCTCATACACTGCTGGTTAGAATGTAAGCTAGTCCAGCCACTATGGAAATCAGCACTCTTCTTCAAAACAACTAAAAATAGAACTACCACATGATCCTGCCATACCACTCCAGGATACATACCTGAAGGAATATAATCTGCCTGCTACAGAGATACTTGCACATCTGTGTTTATCACAGCACTATTCAAAACAGTCGACAAGCAGATTCAACCTAGATGTCCATCAACTGGTAAGGGGATAAAGAAACTGTGGTACGCATACTCAGCGGAGTATTATTTGGCCCTAAAGAAGAAAGAGATCTGCCGTCCGTCTGTCACACAACAGAACTGGAGGACATGATGTTAGACGAAATGGGCCCAGTTTCAGAAAAACAAGTTTCCCATGTTCCTTGTCCTGTGTGGAAACTAAAGGTTATCCTGGAGGTAGATCTGTGATTGCATGGGATAGGGAAAGGTGGGGAACAGAGTGTGAGAGAAATCTGATGTGATCAGTACACCGTGTGTGCACACATAGATACATCACACTGAACCACGCTAATATGTCCAGTTAATAGATGTATAAATGTATGTTGATAAAAAAAACAATAAATACAGTTAGGCGAGCAGAAATGAGCAAAGCTGTTTCCCAGCTCCCTTCCCTAAGGTGGTCCCTGCCCTGAACAGGGACAGCAACCACTGTTGTAACTATAA